TGCCGAAACACTCTTTTTGCATTTCTCTGCCGGTCCACTTTTCTCTTTTTTGACAGAGACATATTGGGGCAATGAGGGTGCCAAAGAACATAATGTTAAAAGTAGAAGCCGTAATAAATATCGCGGGCAAAACAAAGTAGCTCATTGGCTGCACGTGCTTGACCTACTTGCTCTGCCACGGTATAAACAGTTTGCTTGCTTAACACAATTGCTATTGCACCATCCAGTGGATGCAATTGGAACAGCAGTTTATTTAATTGAAAAATTGCAGCGCATTTTTATTTTTTTTTATTTTTTTTAAATAAATAAAATAAATAAAATCTCGCGGGCCGGATTGAACCTGTTTGCGGGCCTAATCCGGCCCGCGGGCCGGACGTTTGACACCCCTGCTCTATAGAGTATGCCTAGTATAGTGTAAATCCAGATTAAGGCCATTATAGGCTATAGTCAGTCTTTGCAGTTACCGATATGTAAGAAGTGATTTTCATTCAAAGTAATACAAAGACATAAGGTTGTTTCCTATTTTTCTACCCTTAACTTCTCCTTCTCATGTTTTGATATCTATGTTCAGAATCATTTAGCCGACCTGTCATGTGTATTTGTGTTTTAGTATGTTAAAAAAGTGGAGGAGTAGTAGTATCAGTATCCTCATTTTGTATTTTTTGTAGTTGTTATTAACACATCCTTCTCTTGCTAGATGAAGAAAGCGTGTGAAGCATATGATGTATTATGAGCGACATGTTGTGGCTTGTGCAATGCACTTTTATCGAAAATAAGATGCAGTGAAAAGGTAGAACCTAACAGTGAAACATGGAAAATTCCAACAGAATGGTTAGGCTACTACATGTTATAGTGTCAAGACAAAAAATTAATAGTCTAACCCAAATTAGCAGGTGGTATGCTCTGCCACAGAGTCTCAAATGACAATTTAAAGATTATGACTTAGTCTGTCATGTGATACATTATCAAGAGATGGGGATATTTGATGGTAGTACAATTATTCCGAAGGGAAGCACTGTGCTTTCAAGGACCGTTGTTGTGCTGTGTACATATGATTATTTCTGGCTTAAAAAAAAAAAAAAAATTAAATCCCTGGTCCCTGGGTTTTGGAAAGAAAAGAAAGGGATACCGGGATGGCGTATCGCTGTAGAGCTGTCATCAAGGCAAAGGGTGACTATTTGAAGAAACTCAAATATAAAATATTTTTTGATTTGTTTAACACTTTTTGGGTTACTACATGATTCCATGTGTTATTTCATAGTTTTGATGTCTTCACTATTATTCTACAATGTAGAAAATAGTAAAAATAAAGAAGAACCCTGGAGTGAGTAGGTATGTCCAAACTTTTGACTGGTACTGTACCTCCTGAGCAAAGAAGCTGAGAGCTTTATCACTGAATGGGCTCTGACCAATATCATACCCCAGATTGACACCCAACAGTAAGGATGTCTACAAGGCCAATCGACAAGACACGGTCTGGTGGACCTAACCAAAGATCTATTCAAGTCCCAGGATAAGCATGGTTCTATCTGATCCCTGGTGACCGCCGAATTCAGCAAAGCTTTCGACCATGCCTCGCCATCACCAGGATGTAAGACCTCGGGCTTCGTCCATCACTCACCAGATGGATAGGCAACTTCCTCTTTAATAGACATCAGGTAGTGAGGTGTCAGGATGTGCTTTAGGACAGTGTCAGTATATCTTGTGACCTACCACAAGGAACAGCCGACATCTGTTCCTCCTCCGTTGCATTAAGCACTTCGACATCCCTAAGGAGGGCCTGGTAATGGTATTCACCACCTACATTCTCTTCCACCAGTGGTGGAAACAGTACTCAATTGTCATACTTAAGTAAAAGTAAAGACACCTTAATAGAAAATGACTCAAGTAAAAGTGAAAGTCACCCAGTAAAATGCTACTTGAGTAAAAGTCTAAAAGGGGGAACACAACCAACCTTTGACACACCTGGCGAGCCAATCAATCAAGAGCACCTGATCTGTTGAAGTACTTTTTATTTTTCTGATCCATCGTGTCACTCTTCTAAGAGTAAGTAATTTCAGATGGTGGAGGACATAGAAGAAGCAATTAGGATGTTGACGCATCTCTGTGTCACAGAGCTACATTCTCTAATGGCTGCCAAGGGCCAGACCAAGAGTGGGATAAAGTCAAATCTGCTGGTGAGCGCTGTGGGGGTTATACAGACCCAGTGCAATTCCCACCTGCTCACAGTCTTGCGCCAGCTCTACCAGGAACGCTACGCCTACCAGACAGTTCCTGGCAACAGCCAGAGGACTCCTGGAAGCCACCAGGAGGAGCAGACCGTGGCGCCGGTGGTGGAGCCAACACACAACCCCACATAAACCATCTCGCACACAATCCTAGATTGTTCCAGATGGTACCCCTTCCCTTTTACCAAACCCTGGGGACAATCCTACCCCCCACACAACTGATGGGCTTCTTTTCCGACATGCAGAACCAGGAGTTCATCAGGCTGACGCCAAAGCAAGTGGAGCAGAACAGAAACTGCAAGGAGCTGCGACCAGGTGTGCAGTGTCCAGGTGGTTCTCAGATTCTGCTTCACAGAGAGTCTTGGGTCCGAGGAGGATCAATACCCACCATGCCTGTGGATCAGAAACTCATACCCCTACCAGAACTTCACAGACACTGTACACCCATCAACATAACGCCAGCAGTTTCTCTCAGCCTCCTCCCCTCATCTCGTTTATGTGTCTGGTGGGAGAGATGTAGCAAAAGGTACTCTGTGGCTGTGTACCTGGTGAAGGTGCTGTCCCCCTCAGACCTCAGTCAACTGAAGAGCCAATCAGTGGAGAGTCTGACATTCTGCAGAAAGCGCATCCAGGAGAAGCTGAGTTTCGACCCAGAGTGTGAGGTGACCACAACAGGACTACAAGTGTCCCTTATCTGTCCGCTGGGGAAGATGAGTCTGTCAGTGCCCTGCAGGGGACGTAAGTGCGCCCACCTCCAATGCTTCGACGGGACGCTCTACCAGTCAGTTCCTTATAGCCAGCTAATTATCGATGGGTTACTGACTGTGATCTTGGTGTTGGAGGGCTTTCAGGACAATACAGAGGTAGAATACCTGGCTGACGGCTCTTGGGGGATTTGTTATAGATGGCGTGAGCAGAACACAATCTTCGGCACTTTTGGAGAAGATGGAGGCATACAGTGGTAGTAGTGTGACTGCAACCACCAGTGCTATGTCAACGGAAGTCGCCACTGTGGACCTTACGCAGGATTCATCCGAGGATGAGGCTGATGAGGTCACAAAGCCATAACGATGGCCTCCGACAGGAACGGGTTTCATGAAGTTGCTCAGGGTTCTGTATGGTCATCAATGGTAAACCCATCACGGAGATTAACAGTACTACACATGTCGGCTCAGGAGGTAAAATGTGTATGTTTGTTTACAATTAAAAACTGGACACTGTTGAGACTTTTCAGGTCCAGTGGTCAGAAAAAAATAAAGAGCCTAAGAGGAAATGGTTACTGAGCAGTCCCAAGAGAGTCTAGAAACGTAACTCACAATTATTAATGAGCAGGGTTACATGCACACAATAATACGATTATTGTGGATAGATTAATATAAATAGTTTGTTTTAAAACATTTAGGCCTACATGCTTTGCAAGAAGAATGATTTCCCTAATAATCCTGTGTACATGGACACATCTGAAATCGGGCAACCATAGTGACCATGTTTTTTGTGAAGCGTATTTGATTCCGAGTTTGGACATACAGTATAAAGTGTGTGAAAACTATTCCTAAGATGAATATTTTCAGTTTTTCCAAACTCACTTCACTCGCTCATTAGAGGAAGGGTTGCGCTACTGGTGCTGGCACATGCACAGATCAGATACATTGCTGGAACGCCGATTAAGTTGTTTACAAGACCTAATAATTCAAAAGATTGCAAAAAAAAAAAAAAAAGGTGTTTTATTCGGCATAAACTTACTTCCATTTTGACCATAAGCCGATTTAAGAGGAGCAGAGTAAGGTGTTTACATGACTATTTACATACGTTGCCTGTCAATCATTTTAATATCTGATTATTGTGCATGTAAACGTACCCATGTTAATGTATTTAATGCTTTTTTTGTAATATCAATTTATAATAAAATGGGGATTGTTTTACCCTCCTACAAAAAAATGTCTAAAAGTATTTGGTTTTAAAAATAGCTAAGTATCAAAAGTAAATGGAATTACTAAAATGTACTTAAGTATCAAAAGTAAAAGCATTAACCATTTCAAATTCCTTATATTAAGCAAACCAGACAGATAGTCCTCTGTCCTCTGTAGCTCAGCTGGTAGAGCACGGCGCTTGTAACGCCAAGGTAGTGGGTTCGATCCCCGGGACCACCCATACACAAAAATGTATGCATGCACGACTGTAAGTCGCTTTGGATAAAAGCGTCTGCTAAATTATGGAGGACTAAAAGTGCCACAATTAAATAAATAAATACACCATTAAATAATTACTTAAATGTGTCATTAATTAATTAAAATTAGAATTAAATACATAAATGTGTAATTAAATGTATCATTAATTAATTCAAATACCGATTCATTTTATGTAAAATACATATATAATTATTTCACTATTTACATTTACATTTCATGGTCCTGCGTTGGAGTGATTCATGAATTACTTAAAACTGTCAAACTGACCCATCAAAAGTTGGTAGGCGGAACCTAACGCCTGATTGGTTACCCTCTGCATCAAGCCAAGACAAATCAATTCCGGATAATGGATTGATGCAGAGCTACTGAACACATTCCAATACACTGGGTGGCGCTATTCACCTCTACGTTGGTTTAGTTACACGGTTAAACAGTACTTTCATTGCAACGGCTAAAAATCAAGAAGACTCGGTCCTGCTAGCCCCAATGTTGAGACGCTGTGTGAGGTGCAGGACAAAATGTCTAAAAGTTGCCCGGAGCTGCTGAGAGAAGCAGCGAATTTGATTGAGGAAGCTCTGAGCAGAAGTCCAACGGCTCCCGCGGCACCGGTGACTCCGGCAGCTCAGTCACAGCAGATACCGGCCGCTCAATCACGTACACCTGTCCAAGGTAAGCTAAGTAATTTCATGTTAGCCAGGTGTGCTACTATTTAATGATTCGGGACACACGTGTAGGTTAAATTAGATCGACTCGAACATGTATTTGCATGCGGTATTATGATGCTTCGTGCGTGACACGTTTATTGTTAATGGGGGGGGTGGGGGTGGGGGGGGGGTGGGGGGTGACCACAATGCGGATAAAACTCCAAGCGTACTGTTTAAAGCTGAACTTCTTACTTCAGGACTTGGAGAGCAAAAAGTAACATTTTCAGGTCAGTGCCAAACTAGGCATTTACCAAAAGTAAAAAAAAGTTTGTACTGTCGGTGGCTTGTTGAAATTATTTGCATTTCTTTTTATAGTGACTCAAACTTAATTGGTGTTCATAGTGTCAATAATAGTTATCACAGGCTTATTTGCTTAATTTAAGGTGAGGTGAGTTATGATTTTGTTTTGTTTTTTTCTCCAGGGAATGACCACGATCCCATGGTTATAACAAATAAACTGATGGAAGTGTTTCCGAAGCTCCAACAAGGGGGAGGCTTTGAATTTCTAAAACTTGTAGGATCTACTCGCAGTCGAAATCTTGCGTTGCTTCAGTGTCCCAGCACTGGATACACCCTTGCCTATCTGAAAGATCCATCGACGATGATTGGACAGGCTACAATCTACATACGTCCACTTCAACAGGATCTACCCTTAGATTGTGTACATACATTTACAGAGACTTAGTTTAATACATAATCAAAACAAAGATTACTGGTGACTTTTAATCATTAATTAAAAGCCATTTGTTGTTGTTGTTAGGAGAGCTCACGTCCTGCCTCTGGTCCAGTCATCCCCTGCATCACTTGTCAGAAGGAAGTTCCCTTTTCAGAGATGAAGCTGCACAGATTGAGCTGCAATGGGTATGCACTTCTTAAAGCAATGCAAAGGTAGCATAATTTATTTTCTTTGGGAATATGTCTCTCTTATTGTTGTGCACACAAATAAGCGAGTATGACCATCATTTCAATTGTGTTAACTTCAAGGACACCCATGCAGGAATCAGAAAGAGAACAAGAGGGAGGCCAAAGTGAAGAAAATGATAGTGAGACAGCCCTAGTCAGTGACAGTGTTCCAGTGAGGCCTGAAACATCAGCTGAGAGTGCAGTAGTACCGGCAGTGATTGTCAACGAGGAGTTGGATCGCAAAGAAACAGACAGTGGTTTGTGTCATCACAATAGTGTTGCTATAAGATTGTGTGTAACTGAAAAGTTAATAGAAAGATAACACCTGTAGGATATAATTAGATAAGATAATACAGTTACAGACAATTAATAACATGCAACTGGGTTTTTCTATTTTTCTAATATTTAGTTGTAGTTGTTTAGTAGTGCTGTTTTTATGTCAACTCAGCGTTGTGACAGGTTCTGAAGATGTTGGGTCTCACGTTTTGTCAGTGAAATGAACAGAATTTTCCTCCTGTTCTGTAGAGTGAGAGGATATCTGTATATGCAGGTAACATGCCAACTCACAATATGTCTCTCTGTAATAGATAACTTTATTGTTGTTGTTTGTTTAGAATGGAAGCTTATTAAAGAACCCACTCAAGCTGCCAAAGTTTTCAAAGAGAATCTGCTAAGGGAACATGCAACTGGGAAACCACTTAGAATGAAGATGGATGTAAGGGACTCTGAAGAGGACAGGGAACGGGAGCTTCTCTTATTCTATAAACAGCAGCAAGAATGGGCATGTCCACTTCATTGTACTCTGGTTGGTAAGTAATATAACATTTATAATATAAATACATCAGTACAGTTTATACCACTCAAGTAGCTTATATGTAATTGTTAAATGGGAGAATGGAATGCACAAAATTATATAATTGATAAAAATGTTATATGTATGTATGTGAATATTGTGCACAATATACTCTTGTTATCTGGAATAATCAATATTAAGGATGCTATTCTAGAATTACAGCCAATAGAAGTTTTTCTCCCTTTCTTGTTAAATGTTACCAAATCCAGTTACCTGTATTAGGCCGCCACTTTTTTTCCAGTGTTATTATCAGTATTTTATTTCAGGTGATGTTGCTATCGGAGAGGGAGTGATGCGGTACTTTATGACAACAATCATATCCAAACTCCAGTTTGGATTCAGTCTAGATCTTGGTAAGTATCTTACTAATTTTTTGAAGGTTAATCCATCTATAAATTGCAGAAATGTCTTTCTGTAGCGCATGTCTCTCAGTTAGTCCGATGGATTTCAAACTTGACAGGTGTCTTGCTCTGGTCACGAGTAAGTGCAGTGCCAAGTTTGACGACGTTTGGATAAACGCAAAAGATAGCGTTACATATATAGGTAAAAGAAGCACACATTGGCTTTTGCCGCTCTTGCTGCTTGCCATTCTCACACTGCATGCAACGCTGACTGAGCACCTGTTTGTGTCGTGACTCACTCTACACCGCCTCTCTCTATGCGCGCGCACACACACACACGCGTACACGTACATTCTGGTGGTTGATGAACGCGGATATGTGCTGTTTAGCGGAGGGCCGGTGGGCAATGTTTTGTGTCAGGTAAGTCTGTAGTAGGGTATACAGGGGAATTGAATTTGAAGTGGTTTGGGGTCCTTCTGTAAGTCATTTTGGAGTAGGCTACAATTTGGTTTAAGTGAATTCTACAAGCAGCAATACCACAGGCCAAGTAATCGCCACTAGTATGATGTAATCTATCTATCTATCTATCTATCTATCTATCTATCTATCTATCTATCTATCATACATTTTTATTTTATATATTCAAGAGGTTAATTGTTGTGACTTTATTCCCTGCTCTCTTGGTACTTTACAGGAGGAATGGGCCAAACACTGCTATTTGAGGGTGAACCTGACCATCTTGTTCCAGCAGCATCAGAGGCACTTATTGAAAGCAACCTCTTCCGGGTTGCAGGAAGGATGTTGGGCCACACCTTTCTGCATGATGGTCCCCATGTCACAGGACTAAGTCCTGCTGTAATTCATGTACTGTTCAATGGGGACCCTGAAATGGCTACTGTTGTTACAGAAGACGGTCCTGATCTGCACATCAGGAGCATCATAGAACTGGTATGTAACCTAAAAGAAACTTTGCCATGTAAAAAATATTGCTTGGGCAGATATAATAACTTGTATGGTCTTAATTCTAGCTTGAACATGAAGATCTTACACCGGAACAGAAGGACACAGTTTCAGATCT